AAGTTCTGGCTTGGAGTGCCCTGAGTGCCCACACTGGGCACATCACACCACTCGGCCATCAGCCCGGCTGCACTTGCCGCAGGCTGCCATCTGGGGAGAGGGAGTAATTGGGGGGCTGCAGGAGAGCTCCCACCCCCAGAAGCCCGCAGAGCCAGCCCAGTCCTCCCCATCGGGGGCTCGTACCCCATTCCTCCCTCACCTCCTTCCACTTACCCTTCCCTAGCCCCCCTTCTTATTGATGTACAAAATAAAGATAACGTTTCTTCCAACATTGACTCTGTCTTTATTGAAAAAAACTGGGGGAGACTGGGAAAAGGAGGTGGGAGAGGGGAAGAGAAAGGCTGGGAGAGGGGAGGGCAACTAACATGATCAGGGGTTGGGAACAGGTCCCAGATGAAGAGAGGCTACAGAGACTGGGACTGTTCAGCTTAGAAAAGAGGAGACGGAGGGGGGACAGGATAGAGGTCTCTAAAAGCAGGGGTTGGGTGGAGAGGGTGCATTCAGAAAAGTTCTTCCTGAGTTCCCATAAAGAAGGACTAGAGGACACCAAAGGAAAGGAATGGGTAGCAGGCTTGAAACTAGTAAGAGAAAGTTGTTCTTGACAAAGCAAATAGTTAACCTGTGGAACTCCTTGCTGCAGGAGGCTGTGAAGGCTACAACTAGAACAGAGTTTAAAGGGAAGTGAGATCAAGTCATGGAGGTTGGGTCCATGGAGTCCTATTAGCCAGAGGGTAGGAGTGGTGTCCCTGCCCAAAGTTTGTGGAAGGCTGGAGAGGGATGGCACGAGACAAATGGCTTGATCACTGTCTTCGGTCCATCCCCTCCAGGGTCCCTAGGGTTGGCCGCTGTCGGCAGACAGGCTACTGGGCTAGATGGACCTTTGGTCTGACCCAGTACGGCCATTGTAAGCTCAGGGCTCAGGGTCGGGGGTCTCAGTGGACCCCCTTGATTTTCATGCACACCTGGTCCTGGGTGGCCAGGCTGGCAGCTCTCCTGCCCTAGACGGCCACTTTCCTGTGCCTAGTGCAGAGATCGTGGACAAGGTCCATTATGTCTGCACTAGCCCAGGAAGGTGCCCACTTCTTGCGGTCCTGGGCAAGCTCCCGGGAGCCGCCAGCCTGGGCCTGGGGAGAGGGCGGGAGCCGCCAGCCTGGTCCCGGCAAGAGGGGGTGGGCTGGGGGGCATCGGGTGGGTGGCTCTGTGCCGTGCCACGTGCAGGGTCTGCTAGCTGGGTGCTGGCAGGCTTGCACCTGGCACGGGCACCGTAGCCAGCCCGTGCCCCTTTAAGGGGTCCGGGGCCGGGAGGGGGGCATAGAGTTTCCCTGGTGTTGGCCAGAGTGGCCACCAGGGAAACCTGGGGAGGGCTAGCCTCCCACTAGTTCGAACTAAAGGGCTACACAGCCCTTAGTTCGAACTAGCTAGTTCGAACTAGGCGTTAGTCCTCGTAAAATGAGGTTTACCTAGTTCGAACTAAGCGCTCCGCTAGTTCGATTCAAATTCGAACTAGCGGAGCGCTAGTGTAGCACCTATTAAAGTTAGTTCGAACTAACGTCCGTTAGTTCGAACTAACTTTGTAGTGTAGACATACCCTGAGGTTGATGTCAAATGTCCACCCTGTTTGTGGGTTGAAAAGCACTTGATGGTGGCAGCGGATTCCCTAAGCCTCGGTATTAGGATTTTGGGGGGGAATTTTTGTACCAGAGCCTGTAGAGACAAGGTTTTAAAGTGCTCTTGCAGGCCCCCCACTTCTGCATTTGTCATGCCAGAGTGGGGAACAGCCTTGACACTCCAGCTTCTGGTTGAGGCTGGAGTTGTGGAAGAAGTGGGCGTTGTGCACCTTCCCCACCAGCTGACAAAAATATCCGAGAATTGTCCCAGTGGTGGACCAGGGTCTGGAAGACCATCAAAAAGTATCTCTTCGATTTACATACTTCACGGCCCTATGGTCGGGGCGTGGATGGGGATGTGGGTTCCATCTATAGCCCCCTTCTCCCCCGCAGTTGGTGAAGCCCAGGGTGGCAAATCCAGCCACAGTGGGGTCCAGGTCTCCCAGGCGGATAACCCTGTGCAGCAGAACGGTGTTTATGGCCTGCACCACCTGCAGAAGGAGACAAGCAAACAAAACAGAATAAAAGGGGGTGCCTGAGCCCTTTGGAGGTCCCCGAGCCCCTCTTTCCTTCCCACCCACAAACACCCCAGCAGCCATCCCACACCCTGCAGGGCTGTGTGAGGGTGGGACTGCAGACCCCCCCCCCCATGGATGGGGCTCCCCTCCACCGCCAGGCCACCTCCAAATCCCCCTTTCTCTAGGGTCCCCCTTTCCAGTACACCCCCCTGCTTGCAGGGACTGCAGCCTGAGAGTGCCTTACCTCCATGAGAAGGGCCCCAACGGTGGACTTTCCCATGCTGAACTGGTTGCCCGTGGACTGGTAACTGTCTGGCGTTGCGAGCTTCCAGATGGCAATGGCGACTTGCTTCTTCAGGGAGATGGTGGGTTGCATCTGGGTGTCCCATCATCAGAGGGCAGGGGTGAGCCAGGCACTGTGCTCCATGAATGTCTCCTTCCTCATTCGGAAGTTGTGGAGCCACTGCTGGTCGTCCCACCACTCCATCACCAGCTGGTCCCGCCGGTCAGAACTGGTGTCCAGCCTCCAAAAGCATCTCTCCACCGGGGGGAGAAGTTGCAAGGGCCTTGCTTCCGCACACATGCAGAAGTTCTCATATATGAGCTCAGAGTTGAGCTCAGCAGGATCCTGATGGCAGCTTACAGAAATTGCTGTATGGCAGTGTGGGGCCATCGCATGCCCAGAGGCAGCTCTGACTCCATACCAGCGAGTGCTGTGGTGTTCTGAAGCAGGACAACCAGAGCACACAGAGGAAATGCTGTCCCTCGAAGAGGTAAGCAAGCAAGCAGAAGAACCTGAGAAACAGCTGTCCAGAGAGCCCCTTTAAGCACGTCTCTCAGCCTCAGGCAGCAGCACCCGGAAGTAACTTCTGACCAGAAGCCTTGCCTGAACTGGTTCCAGGTGGCCTTAAATGTGAGATAGCATCCAATCAGTGTGGACACCATCTTTCGAAATAGCACATCTCTATTTCATTGCGTTTTTTGTGTGCGGACACTCTGTTTCGAAATAAGCTTTTCTGGAAGATCTCTTACAGACAAAAGGTGTAGATAGTGTTCAAGAGCTGAATAGATGGAGGAGGTGGGGCTTGTAGAATAATCTCCTCCCTTTTATATACCTTTTCTGTGTTTCTCAGTGTGGAGCATGAAGAAGATCCAGTTATTTTCCATCACTTACAGCTCCCTAGTATCTATATGCAGAAATGACTTGAGTTTTCCTGTCACCCTAGGAAGGAAGAATTTGCTTTGTGAAGGCCTGAGAGAAATACAATATTATGGCCCCTGTTCAGAAAATGAACCTAACTTCAGGCAGGCGTTAAAGTAATTGATTAAATAAGGGTCCTTGATATTTGGGCTCCTGTTACAGAGAGGCAGGCTGAGACTACACATCAATTCATTGAGTCCAAGGCCAGAAAGGACTGTTATGATCACCTTGTCTGATTGCCTGTTTGACACGGGCGAGAGAACTTTCCCAAAATAATTCCTACATCTTATCTTTTAGAAAAAAAATCCACTCTTGATTTAAAACATGTTATCTGAATTAGACGAGCTGCAGTTTCCAGCTACTGGATCAGGTTACACCTTTCTCTGTTACATTGAAACACCTATTAAATATTTATTCCCCACATAGGTACTTAGGGACTGTAATCAAGTCACCCCTGAACCTTCTCTTTGTTAAGATGAATAGATAGAATCAAGGAACTCAATCACTAGAAGGCAGGTTTTTAATCTTTTAATCATTCTTGTGGCTCTTTTTAGAGCCTTCTTCGATTTATCAACATCTTTCTTAAATTGTGGGCACCAGAAGTGGGCACAGCATTACAGCAGTGGTTGCACTAGTGCCAAATACAGAGGTAAAGTACGCTGTCGCTGCTTACTTGAGATTCCCTTGTTTATGAATCCACAGACCACATTAGACCTTTTGACCACAGAATTGTACTGGGAGCTTGTGTTTAGCTCATTATCTGATATGACCCCCAAATCTTTTTCAAAATCCTTGCTTTCCAGGATAGTATCTTATCTCATAAGTAAGGCTGCATTCTTTGTTCCTGGATCTATCTATTTACACAGTCATATTAAAATACATATTTTTTGATAGCACTCAGTTTACCAAATGATCCAAATTGCTCTGTCTTCATTATTTATCCCAATTTTTGTTGTCTGCAGCTATTTAAGAGATTATTTGGTTTTCTTCCAGGTCATTGACAAAAATATTAAATAGCATAAAGCCAAGAGGCCATTTCTGTGGCACCCAAGTAGAGACAAACCCACTCAACAATGCTTCCCTGTTTACAGTTACATTTTGAGACCTGCCCGTTGTCATTTTTAATCAATATAAAGTGTGTTATGTTAACTTTATATTTCAAAGTTTTATGTTTTCAAAGTGATTTCAGATTAGATATTTACACTCTGTCCAACAAGTTGCTACATTCAGCATAAACACAAACTGTGCTGGAATTATGCCAGAAGAGAACTTGGCTCACTGACTTCACTTCAGCTCCTGGTACCTTTTCACTTGATTTAGAAAAACACAGAAAGAAAGCTTTTTGTAACATGAGCTACCTAAGTACTAACCAGTATCTGTATCTTTAAATTATACCGGATTATGCAGTTAAGAATGGACCAATTTTCACCAGCTTTCTTGGCTTACATTCTACTTCCATTAAGATGGTGGAATTGGATTTGTTTTAATATACTACTTTCTCAGTGAAACATGAGATGACAGTGGTTTTATGCTGATATGGATTCAACCTAGTATATAGTGGGCACAGGGTATCAGAAATTAAGTATCTTGTGTGTTAGTGTTCGATGGAAAACAAAGTTGTTTTGACACTTGAGAAATGCAAAGCTCGCAGACATACTCATCCCTTCCTCTCAGCTTCCCTTAGGTGTCAGTGATACTTCTCTTCAAGAAAAAGAAAAGATTAAATTTCTAGTGACCTGTGAAACCAAGGAAGGAAGCAGAATTTCATTTCAGGTAATATTTCACTTAATAGCCTTGTTTCTCCTTTTTCACTGCATTTCATTTGCCTGAATTCCAGAGCTCCAGCCTGTCTTTAATAGACCTGACACATCATAGGTATAAGTTATACATCTAGGAACTCTCACCACCCTGTAATTACAAATACTTACACAAGCCCAAGGTTACCTAAGTTTTTCTTATCCTAAATGCACTGAAATCCAACTCAGCTCTCCCCATCACTAAAAACCACTAGAAGTTTGTCTGATTTTTTTTCTTTTATTGTTAGCTACTTCCTTTCTCTGCTACCCTCACTATAGCCACCTTTGTCCAGCAGAGCCTCTGGCTGTAAGCTTCCATTTATTATGGAGGATCCTGACTGATTCATGGCTTTGGAGTTGTTCCCTGGGAATTAATCAGTGATGTATGCCATAAAGCAAGTTTCTTGCCCACAGCTAGCTTCTTCCTGCAGCTCAGGGATACATCTGCTGTTAGTGGCTTATGGAGCAGGGAGTCAGAATAGGAGGGATCCTGCCTCTCTCTTGATAGCAGCCTTCTTTGGGGTTATCAAGGCTAAATCCCTACTCTGGCACAATGAGTGCAGAAGTGGGGGCCCACAAAAGTACCCCAAAACCTTATATTTCCAGATTTTGATATAAAGCTTCCCCCCAAAATCTTAAAAACCTAGATTTTGGGGATAAAAATCCACTGCCACCACCGTATAATGCAAAGGGAAGAGAAAACCAGGGAAGAGATCACTTGGGAAATCTCAGCCCTAAAGTAAAACCAGGACACAACAAAATTAACCAATACCAGGTTAATTAAAAAAAAGAGAAAGAAATTTTATCACCACAATACTTCTGTTACAAGCATAATGTCTAGATGGAAAAAGTCACCAATTAATACACTCACGGGGGACCCCTATGGGCCAAAAGCTTAGTTACAAAGGAGAGGAAACCCCCCCCATCCCAAAGCCATAAAACAATAAAAGCTAATGGATTTATCTAAACTTTACCCTACCTACAGATAGTGAAGAGTCTTTTCTTGGAGAGAGACATGATGTCTGTTCCCCTCAGAATCTGAAGAGAAACTGCTCAGGAACAAAGGAGGGAAAACCCCAAAATTCCTTTGTCTCAGTTTGAAATCCCTATCTGCACTTTTATTGGCTAACTGCTACCTGGCTAGGTACTGTCAACGTCTTAGTCCCCAGGCTGATGGCTAACCCTCATGGTCATGACAGGGATGAATCTCAGGTGGGGAGAGGGGAATAGAGATGCCCCCCTTAAGAAAAGGGGGAGAGGAAGGGATTAGTGTGATGAGTAGTGGAATACAGGATAGAAGTAAAAAGGGCAAAGAGAAAAGAAGAGGCAGCAAATCAAAAGAGGCAAATGTAGTGTAACATAGGAGATCAAGAGCCTTAACAGTATAGTGGGTGCAAATATAAAAGATAGGAAAGGGGATGAAAAACAAGAGATGAAATTAAACCCACAGATGTTTTATTCTCCAGAATACGAAAAAATCTCTAGCTTTTATGGTTTTTTGAAGAGAACCTCAAAAATATAAATGAACCAAATGTTAATGATCCAAAAATGAGTCTATGGAGAGCCTGGAAGAACAGCACAGGAATATGTGAACTGCCCTATTCATTTAATTAAGGCTTAGATCAGATGTCCAGTGATAATGGTTTAAATGTGAATGTGTGTTTAACTACATAGTCCAGAAAGGAACAGAAAAGTCACAGACTTGCACAGTTTACGAAGAGTGATTTCTCACTTTGGTGCTGCAAGTAGGTGGGGTGTTTGGGGAATGTCATCACTTATTTCCACCTTACCCATCCTCTATCAAGAAAAAAAACAAGTATTTTGAATTCACACCATGAAAGGAGCCAAGATCAAGGAGCCCACTGGAGCTCTGAGAGGCCATCTGATCACATTTTGAACAGCTGCACAGAAAAGTGAATCATCACATGTTGGGGCCACTGATTGGCAGAGCTAATTTTGGAAGTGGAGTCTGGAGAAGTTATACTACTTGCCCTACAAGTGCCCCAAATGTAACCACAGCAGAAATGAGGGAGGAATAAAACATGTTCCAGGGCGGGACAAAATTACTTAGATGTTAAAAAGGGAAGTAAAGAAACAGAGGGCTAAAAAGCAAATAGAGGCATCTTTTAGGGCTGTCATTGTTTAAAGTGAATGTGTACTCTTTTCTTGTCATTTTGCTGCTGGATGTTTCAGCTTCTGCATTTATATTAATATTGTTGGCAGCCAGTTAAATAACTAGAGGGATGGGGGGAGGGGAGAAAAAACTAAAATTGGCTACACGCAAAGCAACACTCTAGAGGTCTCCAGCTGCTACCTTTTGCAGAATCTCTGTTGACAGCAACATGCAAATGCTGGCAACTATTCATGGACCGCATCACAAACAGCTGGCATTCACTCCTTCTGCAGCAGAGGAGCTGACTGGTGATGGGAGTGAAAGTCTGTCCCTCCTGGGAAGCTTTATTTGTTATCTAAACCAAGTCAGTTATAGCTGGGGTGGAGGGATCCCCTGGAAATAATTTCACTAACTCTCCTAAAATCCTGGTGTGGTTGGGTGCATTTAGAGGCCAGCAACGGAGGAACAGAGATATTGTGGGGTAACATAAAAGGAGTTTGAACTGAGTGGGAGATGAAGGCAGAGCAAGTTAGTCATATGATATTTAGAGTTGAACAGTGGCAAGTAATGAATGGAGCATTAAAAACCCAAACAAAATAAAGTTACTTCTGATGAGAATTAAAGGAATGTAAATGCTGAGTTTCACAACAGATGGAGATAGTGGAGAGCAATGTAAGTACAAAGCCAGCTGCAGTTTAGTCAGAGTAAGGAGTATCCATTCTATAGCTAAGAGTGGAGGAAGGAAAGCAGGATGGTGGAAACAATGAGAGGCTCTCAGGACACTAGTACAGGCAACCCTGAACTGGAAAGAGATTTACCGTTAGGTAACGTCCTGTCAATCCTATTAAAACAAAGATGCTCACTATAAGTCCACTATATGTTCCAAAAAATTTGGACTTATAGCAAAACAATTTAAAGTGGGGAATTTTTTTCCCCACGTCTGCCTTCTATTTGTGCAAACTGGGGGGTTTTTTTTGGTGCGACTTATGAGTGGGGAATGGAAGGTCTTATAACACATCAGTTCCTACAAGTGTCAATGACTTTAGTGTGGAACGGATGTATACCGGGGCAACTTTTAGTTGGGACACCCTGTAATGGTTTATATTTACATAGGGCCTTTAATCCAGAAAGATCCTAAAGCACTTTACAGATTCTTTGTAGAAATTGGTTCATCAACGAATACATGCAAATTGATAGCAGATTAACATTGGAACTGCAGCACTAGGAGAGTGTAGAAGAGAAAGTAAAGATGGCTACAATTAAAGGAATTATTTATATGGGAAGAGAAGTTCTATGCCAGTGGTCCCCAACCTTTCGAGGTTGTCGGGCGCCGGGGGTGTGGCCGTTCGCCCGCCGGGCTCCAGGGGGTGGGGACACTTGCGCCCCAAGGGCGCCCCCCCCATAGCTGCATGCCCGGGGGCGGCCCCCCCCCATAGCCGCATGCCTGGGGCCGGCACTCCCCCCGCCCAGCTAATCCGAACTAGCTGTACTCTTCATGGAATGAGGAGTACAGCTAGTTCAGATTAGAAGCCTAATCCGAACTAGCTACTCCGCGCTGCGTGTAGCCGCGCGGCACGGGGTTCGAACTAGCCGGGATTTAAAAATGGCGGCGCCCGGCTTATGCAAATGAAGCCCGGGAAATTCAAATCCCGGGCTTCATTTGCAAGTGCGGTATGCCTACATTACCCCGCTAGTTCGAACTAGCGGGGTAGTGTAGACATACCCTTACTGCTTATGCAGTTGCCTTCAACTATACAGAATCTTGCATAGGCTCAAACTAACAACATAGTGGATCTTCCAATGAAGCAGAGATCTGTTACTCATTCAGATACAGTACGGAGATCGTCAGTGCTTTTCCGGAAATTCAAGCAGCCAGTGTAGACAGCTGGCAAGTTTTTCCGGAAAAGCTGCTGATTTTCCAGAAAAACTTGCCAGTCTAGACACAGCCATAGTTTTTGCAAACTTCACCTTAGCTTTGTGCACTCATCATTCTGCTTAACTCCATTGTGGCCCTGGGAACCAAAGCTTTCAATATGTTGATGCAGAGTTTTACAAAGTATCTTTTTTTTTTTTTAAAGCTTTGAGATGCCATAGGTGGATGCAGTTAAAGCTCTGTAGCCTAGACGTACCCGTTCTTGCTCCTGGCTTTCCGATAGTAGCTTCTGAGGTGCTTATTCCAGCTTCCAGCACCAGTTACCAATCTGGTGAATCTCCAATGCCACCAGCTTGTTAACAATTTCCTGGTACATACGGTCAGTTCTGGTCCTCCTACTTAAATCAAACATCTTGCATGCCTCATAGCATTTACCAAAATCTGACTGTGGTCCTGTGAGCAGCTAGCAGCATGCTTGGCAAATGATTTCTTGTCAGTGACCACCACGTCCTCAAGAGACTTCATTCTGTTTGCAGCTCAGTGGTCAGAATAAAAGACAAGGGTTAAATGTTGAGCAGTTATACTTGAACCAGAGGGAGTTTGCTGACTAGTCTTGGGAGAGAAAGGACAAGGAATGCTGGCCCATCTGAGTGGGGGATCATGTTGGTGGAGTCTCAGGACACAGGCAGGTCTGGAGGAGGTGGACTTAAACCCATTCCCCTTATTATGTCCTCCTAGGGCCCTTGCCCAGAGGGCTTGCTGGCCCAAATAGGATAGCTTTGTGTTCAGAGGGAAATTGGAGGTGAGCCTGACTGTGAGTTTGAGGGTTTCTGTCACTTTTGGTCATTGTGATAATGTCTTTTGAAAGGAGACTTTGCAGTGCTCATCCATGCTTTTCAAAGCTGAGGATGGACTGTCTATATTAGGTACTTATATGGTCCCTGATACCAGCACATCTGAAAATCTCTGAATTTTGAATGTATTAATCTGTATACACAATCCTGAGAGGTAGAGAAGTGCTATTGTCTCCATTTTGTAGATGCGGGCACATAGAGACTATGTGACTTGTCAAGACCTCACAGGATGTCTTCAACAGGGTAGGCGGGTGTCCAGCTAGCACTGCAACCACTGAACCACTCTTCTTCTCTAAGTTGGGACTTACTGCAAAGAGCTCATTTGGTTTCAATGGGCATATCCTCATCTCTAGGAAGCCAGCTTTTTATATTAATTAATGCTCCTTTCCCACAGTGACAAATGTTTACAACACAAATACTCACTATAATATTTCAAAATGGGGTCCACACGTGATAAGTGAAATTACTACATGCAACATCCTACAAGCATCTCATAAAGTCTAAACCCATTCTTACCATTTTAACGTCTATTTTAACAATGATAATACACAGATGAGCCAGATGGTGTCCAGCTATGTACCTAGGCGCAGGAACTAGAGGTGCGGAAGGTGCTGCAGCACTCCAAGGTTCCCAGCCTAGCATCCAGGGTCTTAACTGCCTCCCCACACTTTGGGGGTTCTGCTGCCAGCTGTCCACTTGGGGTCCCAGCTGCTGCCCCACATGCCCAGGACTCTGCTGCCGGCCCTGTACACTAGAGGCTCTACTGATGGCTCCGATCCTGGGGTCCCTGATGCTGGCTCTGCACACCGGGGGGCTCTGCTTCAGCCCTGCACGTTGGGGACTCTGCTGCCAGCCCCATACCCTGGGTCCTAGCTGCTGGCCCCCATGCCAGGGCTTTGCTACTAGCCTCAGCAGAGGGGTGGGGAAAACAGGGGTGAAAGGGGGAAGTGTCAGCACCCCCATTCTTAAAAGCGTTCCCATGCCACTGGCTATATTGTCACTGTTCAGTTGAGGTTTAGGGACCTGGCATGATGTAGCACTGGTCTGCCAACACCACATAACCATTATAGGGTTATGTGCAGTTGTTATCAATTAAGGAGTCTGAGATAAGGAAAACAGTATTATCCCTAAAGCTATGCTGTCTTTGCCTATTTCACTGTGTAAATTCCCCAGACATCTCCTGCCAGGCTCTTTCCTACTGTTTTAAAGAAACGGTACACACATCCTCGTGCTCTCGACTGTGGAACTTATTTCCCCTCACACACACACCCACAAAAGCCCAGAACTGATGACCTTTAAGTCATACTGTACTGCTCATCTATTTTTCCTGGGTGGGTGGGTGCTGAGTAGGATTTGCAGGTAAAGATCAGCATCTTCCGCTGTCATATGAATGACTCATACTTTTGTTTAATTATTATTTTTAACTTTTGTATCTCCACAGAGGTTTGACACCAGTGTTTTGGGGAAAGAGCACCACTTTCATTACACTAATTGTATGTCATCTGCTGTTGGCCAGTTTCGAGTAATGTCCTGGTGATAAATTCCTTTCAGGCATGAGATTATTACATTAGAAGACTATCTGAAGTGTACTGGACTGCACTTCATGGATACAACTAGTTTGGAGGACAAAGGGATCATGTGTCCTCACGTTTAACTTTCCTGTTGATTTCCTCCTGGAAACTGGACAAGACATATTTCCATTCCTTGTTCTTCCTTCAACTGATTTTTAAATATAGTTGCTCCAATTCAATTAGAAAAATTGAATTTATCTTCCTCTCAAATGTCCTTCCCATCCAAATACACTTATGTGTCTGCTCTCCTAAGAGTAATTGTATTTCGACACAAAAGGAAATTATACTGATGTATAAGAGGAATTAAAAATCATTATTTAATATCATTGTTGTTACCTAAAATTGGAAGGCTCACTTTGCATTTACGTATACCTCCATGACTCCCACTTGGATTTTTCACACCCGTGAGTGATGTAGTTATATGATACAGGTCTGTAGCATAAACCTAGCTTTACATACAAAACAAAATCATAAAATGTGAACTAGGTCCTACATATATTAGTAGCTACCTGAGTCAGTCTTTCATCACTGTTTATAGACAGGGTGATCCCCTCACTGTCATCCCTTTTCACTTCCAAGTAGTTTTGATGTTCACAGTTTATCTTTGATCAGTTTTCATTGACTTTTTTGGGTTGGTACAAAGGTAGACAACTGAGCAATAATCAGCTGGGGGGAGGGGAATTACAACCTTTCAGTAGAGACCTGACATGCTCCCTTTCTGGATAAGTACCGAGAAAGTGGTGCATCAGGTATAGTGTAGATATCTTTCTGTGTCACAACCATCACCCTCACTGTCCCCTTCATCTTAATCCTGAAAAATGCCCTGACCAGATCAAGCCAAAGAGAGGGAGGCAAATGACATTTTTACCTCCTCTGGCTCCAGCTAGCTCCCAAAGATCAGCTGGAAAAAAGACTGTCACACACCTGTTGTGTGTTCTTTTCCTCCCCCTTCTTATTCCTTCTATTTCCCAGCCCTCGCCTTTTTCTTTCTGACTAATAAAAATCTGGCTTAGCCAGCCACATCTGTATATTTTGCAATATTGCTGTCTGTCACCACATTAGGCAACTAAATGCAATGCCCTAAACAGCCTAAACTTTATACAAGTTTGCCAGGTCATCAAAGTGCAGATTATACCTGTATGCTGTGTTTGTGTTTCTCTAGCAATAGGCTGCAAGTATTGGTATCTCTTTTACCTTCTAGGAAACACAATTGGACTTTAGTAACATCTGCTCCAGCCCATTTCAATTATCTTCCGTCTTTCCCACCAAAAGAACAGCTATCACTGTATAATAACAACATCTGAAAAATTGTCTGATGGGGGGATTTCTTTCTAAAAACTATACTTAAAGGGAAAGTGAACAAAGGATGTTGTTACAATCAAAGCCTTACTTAATTGTTTACATTTAAAATACCTGAACTTTTTTTTCTCTCTCTTCTGTATCTGTAATATAAGATTTCAATGGTGTTTAATGCTGTGTTTGCCAATATACTAAGCAAGCTAAGGTCTCAGTATACCTTGTTAACACTGATATAAGGTTGAACAGTAACTGGGTCATAGTAACCCCTTTAGCTTATTGGGCCACTTTATTCCATCTAAATTAACACAGTGTGAACTTTCATTGAAGATTGATGTAAGAAATGGCTAAGGGGCCCCACCTATAGCAAGATATAAGGAGTCTGCCCAAAGACCATATAAATGAAGGGTTCCAGTGGGTAAAGTTGTGGGGTGTGTATCTGTATGGGTATATTTACACAGAAGCAGGGAGGGTCTTGATATTGTGTACTGAAAAACAGGCCCGGGGTTTAAATCCACAAAGTGATTTAGACATTACAACTTGGAACAATGTGGCACCTAACTTTAGGCACCTGAAAGTCATGGGAACAACACTGCCATCCACAAAGGCCAAGTTAGGTGCCTAGGATTCCTATACAATGAATGGGAAGTGATGGATGCCTTACTCCAAGTTACAAAACATAGAGAACCAAAAAAGTGCCACTGTGGTTTAACAACCAAGTAAAAGAAGCAGCGAGAGATAAAAGTATAATTTTCAAAGTACAAATTAAATCCTAGTGAGGAAAACAGAAAAAAGCATAAACACCTGCAAATGAAGTGTAAAAATATAATTAGGAAGTCCAGAAAAGAATTTGAAGAACTGGTAGCTAAAATCTCAAAAAGTAATAGCAATTTTAAGTACCCCAACTATAACAGTGTTAAACGAAGAACTAGATAAGTCCATGGAGGCTAAGTCCATCAATGGTGTGTCTAACCTGTTCCTGCCAGAAGCTGGGAATGGGTGACAGGAGATAGATGATTATCTGTTTTTTCATCTCCCTGGAACTAATCAGTTGGGTAGCATTTGAGTCTTTCCTGGTTGGCTGCTCAAAATCACAACTTACAGGGAACACTGCTCCTGGATGCTTCTTGTGGAAATATTATGCACCTGTGCTGCCACACCCACAATTACTAAAGGAGCTCGTGGTGCTGCTACTATCCACCTTGTAACTTTTAGCTCACTACAGCACTCACCTGGGAGATCCAGGTTCAGATTCTCCATCTGACTGGTAGGTTTCCTGTTGCCGTAATGAGTGCTCAAACCAATGTACTGACTTATTTTTAGATAGGGCTTCTTCAGCCTTCCCTGTTGAAACTGTTCCACTGTGGATAAATAATGCAAGAATTATAGGAACAGGGGAACTGGACCTGTGGCCTCCCATGTCCCAGCTGGGTACCATTTCCACTAGCTCTCTTCTTGACCCGGTGACTACTGAAGTATTTATCCACAGTGTAACAACCATTGGGCCAGAGACAGCACAATTTTGAATGGGACAAATTGTGACTGCAAGTGGGGCACAATCCTGCAGGTAGCCTCTGAGCATGACCCTGGATCAGGTGATGTACCCGAACTCCTTTCTTGTGCCAGTTTGTGAATTGCTCTGTGGCTTCAGCAAGAGATGGCACTTGACCTGTAGAATGAGGCAACTGTATAGGTCCAAGGTTGCAACTTAGTCATGGAGGGAACATTTACCCTGAAAACCTAGTAGGCGCCAAGTGAATTTAGACCATCAAGGGAGATTTGTGAATTTCAACAGAGCCAAAACTGGGACTTAGATGCCTCAGGTGGCCAAGTACCTTCGCACCTTTAGGCCAGCAAGGTGCTCAACCTGGCCCCACAAACCACTGGTGACCCTGCTGGCGGACACCGGGGATCCGGGGCAGGTACGGAGCCCCCGATGCAAGCCGCTGGGGCAGCACAACGTGGGCTTGGAAGGCAACCGAGGCTCAGTGTCGGGGATGTGCTGAGAGCTTCGCGGCCCTTTCGGGGGATTCAATTTGTGGATCCAGCGTGTGCCCACACCTACCGCCGGGGCGACCCGCTTTGCGGAGGCGCCAGGAAAGTTTCGGCCGGGCCAGCAGCGCCGGCGGAGGAAAGAGCCACGTTGCCACGTTGCCTCTGCAATTTGCAGCGTGGAAACTGGTGAGCGGGAGGCGCAGCTGCAGGGCAGCGGCTGCTGGACACGGGCCAGCCCGTGCGCGCTGGGGCAGAGCGGAGGGAGGCGCTGGGGAGCCCCCGCCACGCAGGAGCCCTGGCCGGGAGGCGCGGAGCAGGGAAGCGCTGTGTCTGCCCCCTCCCGAGCAGCCCCCTCAGCTCCTTGCCAGCATCCCGCCGGCTGGCTGACGCGGGCGGGAGCCAATCAGGGCGCGAGGCCTGTGACAGACGCGGCGGCCCTTCCCCAGCGCCGCGCCGCTAGGCTGTGGAGCTGGCAGCCCGGGCGCAGAGCGCAGCGAGGGAGGGCTCACGGCGGCTGCTCGCGAGCGGGACACGCTCACGCGGACGCGCATCCTCTCCCCGGGCAGCGCCCGCCGCCCGCCCCCCGCAGCCCGCGAGCGAGACAAAGCAAAGATGGCAGGGCTGCTCGCCTGGTTCTGGAACGAGCGGTTCTGGCTGCCGCACAATGTCACCTGGGCGGATCTGAAGAACACGGAGGAAGCCACCTTCCCGCAGGCGGAGGACCTGTACCTCGCCTTCCCGCTGGCCTTCTGCATCTTCCTGATCCGCCTGCTCTTCGAGAGGTAACGCGCAGCCCGGCCGGCTCTCGCCCCGCGCGGGGCAGGAGGCGCAGCCCGGCGGGCGTGGGGCGGGCGGGGCGAGGGTCCGGTCCAGCGCGCCTGGACCCCGCTGCGAAGAGCCGCGGGGAGATGCTCTTGCTCCTGCTGCTGCGGCTCTCTCCTGCCTGCGGCCAGCGGGAGACGCTTTGGAGTTGCTTTTCTTTCCCGGCCCTCCAGCCCATGCCATCCGGCCAGAGTGCCTAGCCAGCGGGCAGCCCCGCACCACGCTCCGTGCGGGCACATGTCCCGCAGTCGCTCCACTTGGCTGTGCGGGGCGGGGGGTGGCCATCGCTCGAGACGGAAGGGTGTTGAAAATGTAAAGCACCCACCCTCTTCCCCTCCTTTGCTGTCTCCTGGCCGTAACGTGCTTTTCTCCGCTGTCATGGGACGCTCGCAAGCCTAATGGGGGGCGTGCTGTGTAAGGACCGTGTGAAGGCCTGGAATTCGCTGATAGGAAAGAATATATTAGGGATTAATGAAATTGAGTATCTGCTAAAGATCTTGTTTTAGTCTTTATGACCCTAAATGGCGCGTGTATATGTGTGTGTGTGTGTGTGTGTGTGTGTGTATATATAATATTTATTTATTTATTTCTCAGTAAGCTATTTGTAATCGTCTGTTATGACATACTCTGAACCTCTCCCATTTGGGCATCTCAAGCCTTTGATAGGAAATCTCTTAAAGTAATTAGTATGAATGGGGAAAAGCTGAGAATACATAGTGTTTTCCCCCACGTGCAAGAAAACACACTACCATAATGAAAAGTTTGTCTATCTTGAACTAAAATGTCTGTATAAAACTCTCAGTAGTTTTTTTTAGAGGAACAATCTGAATTAAAAAAAAAAGTTAGTGTAAACTGCACATTGGGTATCTACGCTAACTATATAATTGTATAGAGATTACACTGGGTGGCAGGAATGGTCCTTGTAATCTGTTGCTGGAGACCTTGACAGTGCTGAAGCTTTGTATTTCATTGAACTATGTACAGCTGTATATTATGGTTTTAAATGTGTATATTAATCCGAACACAAGTCAGTCTTAATAGTACATGTTTATAAAGTGGCTTAAAGTAAGATTCTAGACTTTCCAGGTATCAATATATTTTACTAATTTCTATAGCTCCTATTGATGTAGTAGGATATGAAATAAAAAAATCTAAGCAATAGTATTCTAAATGTAATCTGAAATTAGGATTCAGCCAAAAAAAGTAACACTACAGATGCTATTAAGAAATTAAATAAAAACTCAGTTTTCATTTAAAATTCTGTCCAGGATTGCATCAATCCAAACAGATTTTAAACAAAATAATATGAACATGTGTATATCAAAGAATCATGTTCCCTTGCAAAGTAAATATTTACTTGCTATGGACATTCAGTTACTTTTGTTTAATGTAGCTGTCCTTGAGTGGATATAGAGATCATTGAGTAAAACAGGTTGCTCATGTATGCTCATTTCTGGGTAGATTAGTATGCCATGTCAGAAAGGATGATATTCACTTTATCTGTGAGGAACAAAAGAATGGTTCCATTTGCAAACACCTACATATTCTTGGCTGAATCTTCTTCTGGAATGATTACAAGATGTTAAAAAGGACACCTGAAGAGTAGCAATTATTACATTCCACACACAGGGAATATCCGTATGTCTTAAAGGTTAATAAAACATTTGGCCAGAGCTCATCACCATTCACAAGCAGTTCATTTTCCCAGTCTGAGCACAGGTGTTAGAATTTGTTGCCTGCATTTGTGGTTTGTGAAATACTCAGCTGTTTTCATTACCCACCTGGGAAGAAATGTTCATTTTGAAAAATGGCCATGGCCTTTGCTGGTTTGTTGTCTTTAGAATAATTCTTTTGTGCTGCTTTATGGACTTGCATGACAAGTGAAGGTTTATCTGGAAATCAAAGGCTTCCCAGATTTGATTTAGAGGTTGAACAAGAATAAATACGAATACTTGATTTTAGCCTTAAATAGGCTTAGGAAATTAAGTAAAGTATTCTCTCAGGGTATGTCTACACTACAGATAAGATTAAAATTGCCGCTGTTTATGTTCCAAGGTTTGAATTAGCAGGTCTAGTGAAGACATACTAATTGAAACTGAGAGGGAAAGTAGTTCTGCTTTAAGGAGGAGCAAGGGAAATTGAAAGGAAAATGTTCTCCCTTCAACTTTCTGCTGTGTGGCCAGTGCCAAAAGTCGAGTTAAGGTACTTCAACATCAGCTATGCACTTAAAGTAGCTGAATTTGCATATCTTAATTCAATTTTATCCCGGAGTATAGACATACCCTCAGTAATGTCCAGGAACTGGCCTCAGTTCTTGCCTCTCCTTCCTTACAATGTGTTAAAATGCTGTATGAGTTGCAATATATAAGCACAGCAGGGCTAGTTCAGGCTGGGAGAAAAGTTAACTAAGCAAAGAATTTAAGTTTGAGCTTTGAATTGCCTTCTGTCACTTATAATGCAATGCTTAATTAGCTTTCTCAAGTAGTTAAAATATTTTCAAAATAATATTTTACCAATACATAGTTACTCAGATCAGAAAACCAACTAACTTTCATAATCCTTCATTATAGGGAGGGCCAATATCCACCTTCCGAAATGTATGCTGTCAGCCAGATAGAATGTAACAGCTTCCTGGAGAGCTGTGTGTTAGCTAGCATTGGAAAATATATTTGTGTCTCAGTGCTACTATTTGAAGCCAATTGCAAAGCTCTCAATGATATTCATGAATGTAGATTTAGGCCCTTACATGTTACATTATTCAATGTTGTATGGAGCAATTGTAATATTCAAACGGAGATACTCATTAAAACAGCCAAGACTAGTTTTGGGCCTACTGTCATTGAATTAACTGGGAGGTTTGTCATTGACTTCAATGGGATCAAGATCTGTTGTCATTATTTGTTATTATGTTGTAATTTATCATTTGTAAAAGGTAGTATTTGATAATGGCTGTTTGAAGCATGGCTTCTTTAAGAAACCAGGAAGTGGAAACCAGAGGGTGAAGAAAGGGGTCACGGAGAATCCTAGGGAGGGTGTGCCAATAAGACTCCTAGAATAAAAGTTTGTTCTTGTTTGCCTTTAAACTTGAATGGTCTTCAAAAGTTTGGAATATCATAGTGGTAATGAGGATGTTGAATCCAAGTCTGCTTCCAGCTACCAGTCTGTTTAACGACACCAGCACTGTACCTGATGCTCTTAGGGTATTCACCCGTGCTATGTACCAGATACATTGTAGCATTCAATGTGTGCCTGATGATGGCTGGTCTGGAAATGGCATCTGAAGCTTGCAGTATGCATTCCTACTCTATGCACTAGGTACTGGAAACTTTAAGAATTTTTCCGCTCTGGTGACTAGTACATCCTATCAGAAGGCAATAAGGGCACTAGCAGCACATCATAATGCCACACCTAGTAGTATGATCAAATGTATTACATTTCATCAGCAAGTACAGTTCCCTGGGGCATTGATCTGCCAGTTGAAGCCAGTTTTCTGGAATTTGCATTCCTAACACTTGAGAAGATTCAGGTTCATTTTAAGGAGTGGATTTTATCCACGTGATTGTGGGAGAGTCTGTTGATGGAACCAGATTTCTTGATGCTCCATAGGGTGGTGGAGCTTGACTGTCAATTTTGAACTTGGAATCCCAGAAGTTCAGATCCTTTCCTGCACCTTAATCCCTCCTGGCTCTCCTTCTTCTAGGCAACATTCACTACTTCCACTGCTGCAGTTATCCCAGTACAGTATATTTGACTGCGGCTCAGGTAACCATGTGGGAGTTGAGGGCAGCACCTGGATCTTTAGTAGACTTGGGAGCAGGGTTCATATTGTAGCAAATCCTGTCACTGTCAGCTCCAGAAGTGTCCAGCCCAGGGATAAATGTGCTGTCCATGTGAAAGAATTAGACATTTTGCCAGAAGGCATTGCTCTTTTTGAGCCATCACCTATATGGGTGACCAGGCAATGGAGGAAGATTCCATGCCTGACGGGATCAACTTGGTGACACAGGACATATTTAAAATACTCCCGTATTTTAAAATCTGCCCCTCCCTGCAGTGGAGATACTGCTGCTGGTGAACACTGGAACATGAGTCTCACGTATAAATGACGCCATGCATCATTGATGTTTTTGCCTATTTTACTTGTGGACAGCATAATCCATGCTATTCAAATATGGCAATGCAAAAATCACTTTGCCTGGAATGCTGAATCTCCCTGTGATGTAATATCACTGAGAAGTGGGAGCGTTCCCATTTTACATGGCTCATGCTAGAGCCAACAATTGCAGGCTGAATTTTTTTCCAGGAACTAGGATTTAGATTCACAGAACACGGAAATTCTTTGGAGTGGGAAGAGAGGGGAAGGAACAGTTGGAGATATGATTGGAGGCCTTGTAGCCTTGGCTGAGAATTGTCTAGGGATGGATCCACTGGCTACCCCAATTACTCAACCATTCCATAGAACTCCCTGTTGTTAAAGGAGGCCCTAGTTACAGGAATTTCTTGTTTGCTTATGGAGGACACTACACAAGTGCTTGACTTTTCTGCATGGGTGTCAGACTTCTTTGTTGTAAATACAAAAAAAAAGAAAAGGAAAGGAAAAAAGAGTGAGGCTATAGCCCCAAGTGAACAAGGCAGTCATACCCGACTGCTATCCTTTGCGGACTATGGAGGAATTGGTAGTTCGATGTCATGATTCATTTATGTCCACTAAGTTGGTGCTATGCCGTGGATATCTCCAGATACTATTTTCTCCTTAGTCATAGCACCTCATGGCTTTTCTCTTATCACATGGCCCTCTTTCAGTTTGAAAAGATGCCTTTTGGTCTATTTTAGAAATAACACCTGCCAAACAGTAGCAGTGGTTTCTGGCCGTAGCCTACAATCTTTTTCCAAATGGCTGGAGGTAGCAGCTAGCAGTAGCAGCTTAAGTTGTCTATGATTGGCTGTAGGAGTGGTCCTG